CGAGAGAGAGAGAGAGAGAGAGAGAGAGAGAGAGAGAGAGAGAGAGAGAGAGAGAGAGAATGCTCTCAGACCTCATATCCATTCTGCAATCTGCCCTTATCTGGTACAGAGGCCACCTGCTGGCTTTGACACCTCAGGCTCTGGCAGACATTGGAGCCTGGTGCTCTGGACAGATAGTCCTGGCCCCAAGACTCGTGGGGTTGGCATCAGACAATTCAAAAACCATGACAAGAAGGGGAGACAGGCTCAAGGGGGGAGAGTGTGGAAGTGATCTAAGGTGGGCAGAAGTGATGGGGTCCTATCCAGGAAGGGCCTGGTAGCTGGGGAGGATGAGGGGGTTATGGAGGTCTGGCATTTGTCCTAAGGTCTGTGGGAAGCCTGCCATGGGTGTTTGGTTTTTTTTTTTTTTCATTTTTCTTTATTAAGAAATTTTCTATTCCCTCCACATACCACCCACAGATACCCCCTCCTCCCTTCTCCCACCCTCCAACCCTCTTTCCCAAGCCACCCCACATCCCCACATCCCCCAAATCTAGGTCTTCCATAGGGAGTCAGCAGAACCCGGCACACTGAGCCTAGGCAGGTCCAAGCCCCTTCCCACTGCACCAAGGCTGTGCAAGGTGTCACACTACAGGCACCAGGTTCCCAAAAGCCTGCCCATGCACCAGGGATGGATCCTGATCCCCCTGCCTGGGTGCCCCCCCCAAATAGTTCAAGCCAAAAACCATCTTCCGTATCCAGAGGGCCTAGTCCAGTCCCATGGGGGCTCCACGCCACCAGTCCACAGTTCATGGGCTTCCACTAATATGGCTGGTCATCTCTGCACGTCCTCGCCATGGGTGGTTTTAAGCAGGGCTGCAATCCCATCAGAACAACAGATGAGAAGAGAGCTATGTCAGCTACGGGTGGTAACCCAGGCAGTGGAGATGAGTAAAGCTATAAGCTCACTGGAGGTCTGCAGGATCTGGAATCTTCGGCCCAGAAACTGCTGCATCATGGACACTCTCCCCTTTTTGATAATTAACCCGTCGCCAGCCTAAGTTTACAGACTGCCTTTGCTCACCATGGGTCAGATGTCTGTCTTTGTAAGTCTCAGAAGGTCAAAGCAGCCTGCCCACAGTGATTCTGCTCTTTGCCCCATCCCTTCCCAGTGCACACAGATACTCCCCTTGTGGACACATGTGACTATATCCCTAGTGGGCCCTGTCTTGGGGCACTGGGTCATAGGTGCCTTTTATCCAGCCTGGAGCACAGACTTGCAGACTGACCCACTGTGTACTGTGAGAGTCTCAGTGTCCAGTCAAGTAGACAGATTCACTTCCCGAAGGATATGGACAGGAAGTGGAACCGTGAGCCACATTGCTGTGAGTGGGCAAGGGTCAGGAGTGTAGCGATAAGGCATAGTGTGCTAGTCACAAAAGCATGCCAGGTGTGGTAGCCTGTGCCACTGACCCCAGCACTTGGCAGGCAGAGGAAGGTGGATTTCTGTGAGTTTGAGGCTAGCCTGGTCCATGAGCAAGTTCCAGGACAGCCAGGGCTCCATAATAAAAGAGACCCAGTTTCAAAGAAACTAACAAACAAACAAAATGTGCTTTCTTTGTTTCCAAGAACCCGTGGCCAAATTTAGTCTGAAAATACTAAATGGAAATAAACATTTCACATATTTTAAATAACGTTTATTACAGTGTATTATTAGTTATTCTGTTTGGTTGCTAATCTCTTACTGTACCTGCTATATAAATTAAACTTTATCCTGGGCCAGGATGATTAGGGAAATCTCAGGTTTTTCTTGGTTTTCTCCCTAGGTTCTGGTACCGAGTTTCAGCATCTCCTGGAGGCTTGGGAGTACACACATCACCTCTGCTGGGGATGCTCTCCCCTCAGTTCCCCTTAGTGCAGAGTCTGCTCCACCCATTAGTCACTCTGTAACTCTGGCATTGGACTTGACTCCCACAGGAGCCTCCCCATCTAGCAAGCAGGGCCATTGTGTCTTCCCCAGGGTCCCAGTGTGAGAATGAGGAAGGTGCTTGTATGATTCCTCTGAAAGGCAGGTCACAGTCTTCATGCGGTGACCGTTAGCCTGAGAAGCTTCCTCTAGAAGCTTCTTGACATCCATCTCCTGGCTGAGCTGCCCTCTGTTACGGCCCCTCCTTCCATACACCATGCAGCTAGCTCAGTTTCCCCACTATCCGGCAGTTTCTGGTTGCCCTGTTGTGGCTATCAGTCAGCATAGATGATCGCAAGCCCTCACTCCTGCTGACACCACGGCATTGTGTGCCTCTTCCTGCTCCCCTCCCCTCCCCTCTGTTGCCTTCTATAGAGAGGCTCTCCTGTCCAGAGCAGCCTGCAGGTCCCCGGGGCCCAGACCACTCTGTAGAAGGGGTTGCAGCACCTTGCAGCATGTCCTGAGAGCCCAGGAAGGATGCCCTTGTAGATAAGACCAGCTGGATGGCCCTGGGTTTTACTAAAATGTGGACTGTGCCCTGTACCTGGTTCCCTAGAAGTGGGAACAAAGCTTTTTGCAGCCTTTATTAGTTGATCAAAAGAAATGTACTTTTCTTCCCTGAGTGTCCTTTATAATCTATTATGGTTGAAAATAACCTTTCTTAATGAAAACTCCCTAAGTAACATGCTGATGTTATCGGAAAGGGATGAAGTTGCTCTGACTTGGCCTCGCCAAGCGCTGGCAACACCATGATGGGTCTCCAAGTGGGTGAGAACCCAGGCCCCTGATTCAGTCTCCTGCCTCTGGCCTGAATGACTCTGTTTACAGATCCACACAAGGTGATCGGCACAGGCTTCCTGACATGGTTCTGGACTTTCCGTGCCCAGCCCTTTCCCCCGGCTTTATTTGTGATATTTATTTGTCAAGTCAACACACTGGCTTATGTCGAGACTTGCAGCGTGAAACACAAGATTCTATGCGAGGGCTTGATTCTGATCTCGCAGGAGGCCAAGGAGCAGGGTGTGGGCGGCACAGCCTGAAGGAGTTTTGTACACATGGGGCTCTGGCATAAGGCACTGGGCGCCCTCCCAGGGCTCTGATTGGAGAGGTATGTTCCCTCTGTCTGGGAGCCTCGGAGGGTCCCGAGGAGGGGCAGCTAGAGACAGGGAAGGGAGCTTCATGCCTCGTGGTCTGAGAGGCAGCGCATTTCTCTGGAAAAGGCCTGGGGGCGGTGAAGGACATGGGGCCAGGCCCCACGGGAAAGATGGATTTGCTCTTAGTAAAAAGCAGCCAACTCGTAGGAGGTCAGCCTGGGAACTGGAGCCCCCATCCTCACATTCCGAAGGTGGGAGCACTGGCATGAACTGGGGTCTCTTGTCAAGTTCTAGTGCGTGGCTTCACTTTTAAAACAACCCTAAACCTATGTGGCAGCGCTAAGTGGGAGCCAAGGGCTGAGGTGGTGCTTTCCAAGCACGATTCCCATCTTCCTGCCCAGCAACCACAGCGCCGACAGACAGCAAGCTGGGCTCTGGGATCTCACCCAGTTGCTGAACCACATCTCGGCACTCCCTCATTATCTTGGGGCTACAATGTCCTAGGCTGGCCATGCACTGTCTAGCCTAATTACTGTCCCTGGCACTTGCCTTCACAGTCCCCTAGTGCCTTGGGAAAACCTCAGTCTACTGCTTACTGGGTCATTTGCTGACTTGCATCCCTCCTTACATGGGGAAGAGTCAGCCTTCGCTAGCTGTGTGGCCTTGGCACCCAGAGGGCTCCCGCAGAAGACTGCAGGCTGACTGGGGGGTTTCTCTTGCTCTGAGATGGGCTGGTGACAGTCACATGCTGTCCACCTGGAAGAAGAACCAGCTCTCTAGCCACGCAGTCCAGAGGTATGGCGGCTAAATCATCCTGCAAGGTATGGCTGCAAAATCATCCTGCCAAGACACGGAGTCTTGGAATGTAGGCAAAAGGGGGGCTTGGTCTTACAGGCAATGGGCAGCCAAGAGGGGTGCCAAGCAGCCATAGATGCCGACACAGGGACTTCCCTGCCTACTTGTCCTAACCTGCCCCAGGCCCAGGAGAAAGGAGTAGAGGTCAGTATGCAGAGATGGCACACACAAGGAACAGTGGAACTCTGATGTTGAGCTGGCCAGAGGTTCTTCGGCCATGACACAGAAAAGCAGCTGTTTTGGGGGTGCAAGGGGAAGGGGGTGGTGCTGCCATTAACAGAAGCAGGCAGGTCCAAGCGGTGGATGCTCAAATTCAGTAGTAGGCATGCCGCTTACAGGGGTGACTTAAATGACTTTGGAGATTTGAATTCCAAGCTCATTAGCATTTCCCAGGTAGGTCTGGGAAATTGCAAGCAAAATTAGAAAGAAAATGATCCTGAAAAACAGCCGGTTTGTTCAGAGCAGGGACTTTGCCTCGCCGGACACATACATAGAAGCGGCCCTTGACTAGAGCTGTTCCCATTGGGTGCGTGTTCCTGTGGGCATGGGTGCAAATGGTGGATGTGCAGATACACAGCCCTGGGTGTTGTTCCTCAGGCATCATCCACTTTTTCCCGTTGAGACAGTCTCGCACTGGCCTGGAACTTGTCAAGCAGGCTAGGCTGGCTGGCCAGTGAGCTCCAGGATTGGCCGGTCCCTACAGCCCCGGCACTGAGATTGCAAGTGTGCCTTTTTTTTTTTTTTTTTGACATGGGTTCTGGGGCTTGAACTCCGTCCTCACGCTCATAAGGCATTACTGACTGAACTATACCCCACACTTGCTTACACTTAAAAAAAAAACTTCATTTTGCATTTTTAAAAATTTATTTGGGGGAGGTGCACGCCATGGTCCACAAGTGGAGGACAGAGGAAAACCTCTGAGAGCTGGGTCTCTCCCTTCTACCACATGGGTTCCAAGGATCGAAGTCAGGTCATCCAGCT